CCCCTTCCCCTTCCCCTCTTGCTGTGTAACTTTCTCTTATACCTATTTTTTAATTGCTTACCCCGCCATTTCCACTCTCGCCTGCCTGTTCGCTGTGACTGAATTTTGGACAGCTACTTTAACCACTCTTGAACTGGAGTTTGTGTTCCTGTCACCCGCCTGCCTCCAGGCACGTCCATTCCTTCCTCACCCACAGTAACAGGAGGGGAAGAGACAGGTACCAGGCAATGCCACAGCAGCGAATTCTGGCTTTTTGGAAGGTCGTGCTCTGAGCCTTGCTAGGACTCGGAGTCAGTGTCTGCAATAGCATATTAAATGTGAAACGAAACAACTTATAGCCACATACCCCTTGAGAGCTACCATAGTATTTTGTATATATGTATCTATGCTGCAGGTGCGGTATCTCTGTAATTGTGGTTGATGCAGGTGCCTGGGATAACCGGGATGTTGCTTCCACTTGGTGAATGTGTTATGCCGACACAAGCAGAGTCTGGCGAAATGCTGAATCACTTACCTGTCACTCAGGTTTTGTTGCTGACCTCCAGCTCTTCCTGAGATGAGGCCCCTGTCTTGGCAGCCCCACCAATACCCGAGTTCATGGCAGAGGCTAACAATTTTCACAGTTCTGTTATTTAAAAAAAAAAGTTGTATAGAAAGGTACTCTTTTATTGACATTCTAAATGAGAAGCATATCACTATTTGATCACTACACCATTAGAAAATCTCCATCCTCTCTGATTCTGTCTGCTGATTCCCAAAATGTGAGCAGACTGTCAAAAGCAACTTTCCTGTTTCGATTTTAAGTATTTATACATATGTAATATACAAAAAGAAACTGCCTGTATTTGCTCCTTTTAAAGTTCAATCTATTCTGTAATCTTTCTTCATTATTTGCAGTTTGGCTGTATGAGAGATGCACCCGCTGGCTGAACAGGAACAGTGACGTGAATGAGAGAGCTGTATCAGACAGGCAGCAAAATGTTGCAAACTAATAGTCTTTATAATATAAACCCATTGCAGCATAGCAGAAATTAAGTGTTAAGCTGTGGTAAGGTAATGGTCTTTTGCCTAAATAAAATACGCAAAGGTAGGCAAAATTACTTGGAGACATAATAAACAAAAGCCTGGAACATAAGCGTTCATTTTCACAAATGCCTTCTGCAAGTTGCAGTGTGAGTGAATAGTTTTTGTTAAATAGAGTCATAAAACTTTACAAATTGATAATGTGATGGCTGCACAATTCCTTCGGGGCCTGAGTGTTCCCGTTCAAGGGAATACTTGTAGGTCCCCTCCAGAATAGGCCACAAGAGCTGATCATGCGGCATGTGTTTGTGTGAAGAGTATTGGGGAACTATTTATGGGATTGCAAAAAGGGATGGAAGTTTAAGGTGGGCCTTCCACAACAGTTGCAGAGAAGTCTGATTTTGCTTCCAAAGCTTTGTCTGCTATTTTGAACTGAATGCATGGTCAAGGGCCGGACATACATGGATAAGACATCCAGCAAAATTGCACATACCCCCTTTTTAGTGAGAAGAAACCAGCCTTGTCATACAATTGATCTAGATACTGTTGAAGTCAAAGGAAGGCTTTGTGTTGTATCCTTCGACAGCTTTTTTTCCCACTGTTAATTGCTTGGATTTTCTTTCTTTTTTATACATACTCGTAGGTCACAAAATGATAGTGACAAAGAGCAAAGAGATTTGGAGAGAAGATTTCGAGAAAAAGAACCTGAAAGACAAAGGTATCGATTGGATGATGGCAGAAAGCATAGAGCTCACTATGAGTTTGACAAGTTTGTGAGAAGGAATGAAGAAGAGCTGAAATGGGGGAAAGGATACAACCAAGACAGAGGAAAGAAAGGGAACTACAGCTACAGCTTCACTGTGGAGGCAGTAGACAAACTGGGTAAAGAGGACAAGTGTGATGACATGGCATCCAAAAAGGAGCGCATAAGAAATAAGGTTCTTTTATTCATTTAGGATAATCTTTCATTAGTTAAATATGCTTCAAGATCACAGGTTTTACTTTTGCAAACTCAGCATAAAGATGCTTTTTCAAAAAAAAGCAGTTCTTTATTTCATTTTCAGTAAAACCCAGACTATTCTGTTGTTATCAGAGGACAACAGCAGTTAAAATAAGTTAAGGTTACAGGTCTCTGCTCATTCATGTTTACAATATATAGAAGACTTTCAGTCTTCCTTTCAACCTAGCATTTTTAGAACGCTATTCTTGGAAGCCTTGTATTTTATGAGTGTATTAAAAATTGTCACACTTCTGATCTGTAATGAAATCTAAAAACTGTGGCATGCTGGTGTTTTAAAACTGTACTCCCATGACCCAGCTCCTAAAGGAATTATATTACGGACTGGCCAGGCATTGCTCGGCAGAGGAACTGTAAGGACTTAAATAAACAGCTAATTCAGAGACCGTTGTATTTAGAGGGCGTGAGTGTGGAAATTTCGTCAGTGTTGCCTACCTGCCAGTACGAAAAGGCTGTCGTGCGGTGTGGGCGAATTATCCTCGTGGTCGTTGTCAGGGAAGGAGCAGGTGCAAGACCAGTGCACGCGGGGCCTGTAGCACAGCAGAGCTGTCCCTTACTGTCTCCCAGAGACATGGGCATCCTCTTTCTCAGACTGTCTGATTTCATGGATATGCCAGGGTCTTTTCAGGAGGAGGCTCTCCTTGTCACCCTCAGTCTCTCGCCCTTTCAATTTTCCTCATGCTTGCCACGCTGCTCTGGAAATTTGGCGAAACCATCTGCAACTCTGGAACTGGATGGTGGGTCTTGGGGGCCTTTTGTCAAGCCTTAAGAAGCCACCTCCTTTTTGTTTCTTCCCGTTGCACTTCTGGTAGCTCACCGAGTCTCTGGGTTAGTCCACACTTCAAATGCTAGATTTGTTCCCCAAACAAAATGATTGTTAGTAATATTAGTACTTTTTTTTTGCAGTGTGGTGACTTTTTTCCTTAGGGTATTTATCACATAGATAAGAGTTAGGAGGTGAGTTTTCCAACTTACCTACAGAATTAACAATGCCAACACAAGTTTTTAGGCAGAGACTGAGCTTCTTTCTAAAGTTCGTAAGAATTAATTAGAAAACGGGAAATTTCCGGTCTAACAGTTGTTCTAGCTTTCATGCAAACTGCGAGGTACAGAGCCTGTGGTATGAAAAAAAATGTTTGGACCCTTTAACATAAACTTCCCAATGGGCATTGCTTGTCAGAGGATCTACTTTTATGCAGCTGTTTGTGATGTAAAAAGATGTATGTTATGTATTTCATCCCGCACTACAAAGCACTAACTCGAATGACCTAGTTGTATGGCCCAGTAGTGAATCTTGATGTCCGGTCTAAAGAGATGGAGAAAAAGTGGAGCAAAACAGACAAAGGTGAAGGAAAAAGAAAAAGGGAAAATGTATATTGGGTATTGGGAATCAGAAAAAAGAATGAAAGAACCAAAGACCAGAAAGACTTCAAATTATGAAGGCAATTGAAAATTAATATAGTTTGATGTAGGACAATTTCAGTGCTCTGTCACTGTCTTAAAATAGGCTGTTTAATTATGTTTGCTAAGCTTAACACAAGACTTTGGTCAAAAAGCTCAGGTTTTGGTGAATGGGTTGCTTCACTACATTTAAAAACTGGTATTTCTGAGAGAAAAATACTCTTACTCGGGAAAGACTTCTTAAACCGGGTTTCTAAACAGTGTGTTTTGTCATTGAAATTTCAAGAATAAAACGTGCTCACAAGAGCTATAGAACATCACCGTTGGTGAGTTTGAGGTGTCTTTTCCTTGTAAAATGGCTGCTTCTTCCAGTCTGTGCACGCTCAAATTGAACCTACTTTGTTCATTATCAGTGGGTGAATTCCCCTGCTCTCGTACTCCTTCTGGAAGGCATGACAAGCGATAACGGTGCAGTTTTGTTTTGATACTTATAATTCAAATGCACATTCCATGTTATAATTGTGGTAATAATTGATGGTTTGAGGAGCACTGCACACGTATCAATTGGTAAAGTTCAGTTGAGGATCATTTTCCAGCTGTTACCTGCAAAACTGTTCTCTGGTTTGTCTTAAATTTTTTATGCTCATATTTAATATTTGTCATTCATCTGCAGAGTTGCAAGTGCGCAGGCTACTGTTCTTCTCAGTTGATATTAGTGAAGGCAGCAACATTTTTCAGAGTTTTACCTGTAAAACTGCGTTTGATAATTGTCTGCAGTATTTCTCCTTGTTTACATCAAATATACCACAGGATTTTTAATTTTTACAGCTTTCTTCATGTATTCAAAATGCATGGCTCCCAAGAATAGTGTTGTAAACCAGACGGTTATTAAATACTCAATCAATTTTCATTACACTCATTTTTTTCCTGGGTCTTATGAAATGTAAAGTGGTTTAACACAAAATCTGCTTTCTTCACAAACATTCATCACTTTGAGATCCCACACAGGTTTCTCAGAGCGCTAACCACGTCTCCTTCCTTCTAGGATCGCCCAGCCATGCAGTTATACCAGCCAGGAGCTCGCATTCGAACACATACGGGATCTACAAGTAAAACCTATGACTGCAGTGGGAAATCCTTTGAAGATGCTCTTGATAAAAAGTATGAGGCAGATAATTCAGCTGGCGGTGGTTCTGAGAAGAGCGAAGAAGCAGAATAAAACAAACTGGAGGGAAAGACTTGGGAAAAGGGACGAACTTAAGATTCAGTGTCATCACAAAAAAATCCGTAGGGCTGATTCAGAACTCCACAGGCGATTGCACCAACAAAATATAATAGCTCTGCCTCTTACTTTCTGTAAAATAAAGGGAAGAGTGACTGGAGACGTATAAAGTATCTTACAGCAAAGGAATATTGTTGCTTTTTTACAAAAAGCAGCGCAAACACTATTTGCCTAATTTAAAAGCTATTCAGTATTTTATTAGATTTACCTTGAAATGGAAAATCTCTAATAGTTTTAAAGGAGTATTTATATAAGACTTTTCGGAAGCTATTTCGCCTTTTCAAGTCTAAAGAAATGAAACGTAGATTTGCATCAGTTTGAAATCTGAGGCACTTTACATGTATTTGGTGCATGACATGAGGGTCACAGGACCCCTTCCTGCAAATGGCGGCAGCAGGGGCTGCTGCAGGGAGTCGCAGTCGGGCTCGGTGGGACCGACCTGGAGGGAGGGAGCTCTGGAGCCAGTCGTGTTTGCAGGATGAGGGCCACAGTTTGCACAGTTGTGAGAGATGTCCGTGGGTACCCGTACCTCGTTGTGTTTACGTTGTTTTTCAATTAGCTATAGCGTCGGGTAAGTGTTAGTTCAGCTACAAGTCTGTTGTTAGAGAGTTTCTCATTTTCTGAGCCACTTTTGCCTTTTATGTTTGAATAGGTTCTTGTGCTTGAAACAGAAGAAAGCTAACGCAAACCTCAGCACTTAAACAATAGATCTGGCTTTAATAAATTAGCCATTTTTTTATGGTTTTGACACTGACTTTAAAAAAAAAAAAAAAGTGGTTGTACAGTGCTGACTTTTTATATGCTGATGTTTCGTATAAGTTGCGGTTGCAGGATTTGGAAAACGTATGACAACACGAACGTTCTGCAGTTCTATTTGTTAAAAAAACAAATGCATGAATGTCAACTGCAAACTACCATTTTGTAAGATCTAGGCCAAATTCTGCCCTCTGATGCAGGCACATATATATATATGTGTGTGTGTGTATATATATATATCTAGCTTCCATTGGTTTCAATGAGAGCCGCGTGTTTACGGAAGGGCAGAATATGTTCATTTATCTTTCATGGCTGAAAATTTCTCAGTTGTCTGAAACTGGGACCTGCTTTGTCATTGAAGTTAAATAGTAAGATATTAATTTATTTTTACATCCTCTTTGAACATTTTATTATTAAGCTTAACATCTAATTGTTCTAGTCTGACAAATTTATTGTATTTTCCCAGATATTAAGCATTAAATAGAATAAAAGCAAAAAGATTTTGAGATGTGATCTTCTGCAATTTTTTCATCTATTACTCTAGAAAAATTAAGATGCTATGCTACTTCGTATTCTTCAGAAGTAGATAAAAATACAGTTGAGAAGTCTTTTAATATCAAGCTGCCAACTAAAATTACCCGAAGCTTAAGTAAAACTGCTGTTAGAGAATCATTTGGGTTTAGCTCTATCTAAAGTTTGTCTTGTTTCCCAAGCTGATCCTGACTGCAGGGAAGGCACTTTGTCTTGGTGTCTTGGCCAAGTCAGGTAGCATTAGCACAGGGCAGGCTTTCCCCTCGGTGAAAGAGCGCAGCTTGATCCAAGGAGGAGACTTGCCAGGAAGGTTCTCCTGCAGCAGAGCCAGGCAGAGCTGAGATCTTCACCAAATGAGGGTCTGCTGAAAAGCCGGTGTTTCCCACCTGTTTGGATGCCCAGGGGAGGCTGGAGGAGGGGTCTCACCTGTGAGAGGGACCCACAGGACACAGAAAAGCAGTGATTTTGCATGTGCTTACAAATTCAAGCTTGGTATCTTTCGGCCAGTGGTGGCTTTCACACTACCCCTACACCTTCACCTGAGTGCCTAGGTTATGAGTATCTCTTGATAGCACTATAGGTAATTACAGAATCACAGAGTCATAGAACCATCAGGGTTGGAAGGGACCTCTGGAGATCATCTGGTCCAACCCCCCTGCTAAAGCAGGTTCACCTACAGCAGGTCACACAGGACTGCATCCAGGCGGGTTTTGAATATCTCCAGGGAAGGAGACCCATCAACCTCCCCGGGCAGCCTGTTCCAGTGCTCTGCCAGCCTTAGTGTAAAGACTCATTAAACACAGCTTATTTAGCAGTAATTTTACATTTGGGGCTTCTTATTTTCCATCTCTTTTATTTACCAGTGAGTGGGTGTCAAACCTTGACTCAGCAAGAACTGTCAGGGTTTCAGCACCCGTGTCCGTCAGGTCAGGCTGCCGTGCCCTCGCTGACTGGGATTTCCTGCAGCCTGTCCGCTTATTTTGGTTTCTCGTGAATGCAGCCTCCTGCACAGGGGGGACAGAGAGCCTGGCCTTTGGCTTCTGTATTCACATGGAAAGAATACTCAGGACATTCAGATTTGGATGTGGAGAGTGCACAAGTCGGCATCTGCACCACGGCTGCGTCCCCAGGAGCTCCGTCTGCCTGACAGCTTGGCTGCGCCGCTCAAAGAGCTCTTGGGACAACCTCTCTCATTCAGCAGGTGCTGGCATCTATTCCTCCCGCATCTGAGGGGGCCAGCGGGAGGTACCGGCCACCACCAGCAGGATCCGAGCATTTCTGGAGCCACGCAACACCTGCCGCAGCAAGCTCAGGAGAGACGGGAGCAGCAAGGCAGCACTGGGAGCACCGGGAGCCCAGGGCGCAAGGGGGTGTTGCCTGCAGGCTCTGGCTCTCTGCTAAAGTGTGACCACAAGGGCCCCAGAAGTGCCTCCTGCCAGCAGAGCAAACACCACGGCTGAGCTTCCCCTCTCTGTGCTGGTGGCCATCCCAGGCAGTGCCAGCAGGACGGCGTGTGCCTGTGGGAGCAGGGATCGGGTTTGGGATGGGGGCTTGCACAGCTGTGTCCGTCGGGAATGCTGCTGCACCCCTCACCTGACCGGGGCTTGGGGGGCACTGCCTGCTGGAAGTGAGCGTGTACCTCATCGTAACGCTGCAAAATACGATGGCGAGAGCAGCAGAATGTGTTTCCAAGTCCGTGCCCTGATCTCTCCTGCACAGGGATGCAGCAGGGCCTGAGCCTGCTCCCCTCGGAGGAGCTGCCGCCTGCTCTGTGCTCGCTCGCTCTACGCTTCTCCCGATGACATCAAATAAAGGCAGGCTCGCAGCCTGTCTTTGTGCGAACCCAGCGTGGCGTGAGAGCTTTATTGACACAATAGTGACTTTGTTTTGCAAATTCAGCTTTGCTGCAAGTAGATGCGTCATCCCCACGGGATGGGAATTGTGTCTGGTTCCATCGCAGCTGACTTTGGGGCCGTCTGATTTCTTGCTTTTAAAATACAGGGCTCTACATTTAATAAAAATCTTCAACAACTTGGTAGCTTCACTGAATTTCTGTTGCCCTCGTTCTTATGGAGTCCTGAGGTCATCGACATTTAGCAATATGGAGGTCACCCTGTCTGTCAAACTGGAATTGGACTCCATTCTGTCATGAGCTATTGTGTTACAGGGAATATGATGTGGAACGTAAATATTCAGCAAAAACCCCTGCATTCATGCCTGTTGCAGTTTTAAAGAGAAGCTTATTCAGCTCTGAACCATCGTACTGACAAGTTCCCATTCAATTTTTAAACACATTCTGCTGCTTCTTTTCATTTAAAATGAAATGGCTCTAAGTTGTTTTCAGAGAGTCTTTGGAGGTCGTTGGCTCATCCTACCAGGCGTGGTAAGGCAACACTGCTCTTCCTGCTGCAGGCATTTTCTCTGCTAGCCTCTGTTTGCAGCATTAGTCCTGAGGGGCCCAAACAAAGGTGTGATGTGTTAACATGACAAAACCCACTGATTATGCACGAAATTATATTGAACATCAAAATAAAACACCCTTAAAAAGGAAAAATAAAATAAACTTACTTAGTACTTCCCCTCCAAGCCTGATGTAATCTAGAATGTTAAAAAT